CAGGGTCAGCCAGGCACCTGAGCATGGCGGGTGTTGGCCTGTGCGGGGCAATAGCGCAGCCTCTGCTCCTGCCTCCTCTCCCCCGGGCTCCCACCTCCGTCCTGGGAACCAGGTCTCCTTCCCACCCAGGGATAGACGCACCCGACACGGAGCACGGGCTCCTGAGGCTGGGAGGCAGGGAAAAGAAAAGGCAAGAGGGGTATAAATAGCACCTCCCTGAGCCACTCTCAAGAAGCAGGTGGCTCGTTGATGCTGATGAAACCCGAGGTGCGCAGAGGCCTCAGTTGCAAGTAGGAAGCAGCTGCTGAGTGGAGTGATGACACCGGCAAGATGTTTCAGTCATGGCGAGGGAGCTGCTGTTCCTCTCTTGCCCCGGGCCTCCTGGCTGCTAGGCCACGTGCTCCTGGTGTCACACCAGCACCAGAGGAGGGCAGCCCTGCCGGCTAAGTCATGAGCCTCTGCCGTTGTCTCAGGCCAGCAGGCGGTCATCGTCATCTACTGGGCACATGGAAGTAAATCATGTGGAGGCCTGACCCTCGCCTACCGGGTGTATGACCCAGTGGAAAAGAGGAAGACATTACCCCAACCTGCAACGCGTCGCTCTAAGGGCCATGGGTGGGAGGAGGCGGCGAGATGGGTTTTCACTAGGACACACTCTGGTCGGCTCCCCCGTGGGTGACCTGGAAAGACTCGCCCGGCAGGCCCAGCGCCCTGGGCTCTGGGGTCGCCTCTGGCATTTTGTGTGATTGGGGGTGAATTTGAGTTTCTCAACCCAAGTGAGAGCTTGCATGGCCTGTCCTCGAACAGGCCTGTGTGCCCACAGGTCCTGTCAGCCGGCTTTCCTGGGTTCTGCCTGTCAATCTCAGTCAGGGGAGCAGGGCACCTGCTTCCCTTGCGTTTCCGTGGCTGGTTCTGGGGGAAAGTGGTGGGTCAGCTGTCCCTTCTCGCTTCAGCTCAGAGGCCCTCGGCCATGTGTTGAAGGCATGTTGCTAGCGGACAGGAAGTGCCCGGCATTGTTGAAGTGTATTAAACTAACACTATGTAAAGACCCTAGATTTCTCAGAAACCAAGCAACAGTGTTCTCTTGTCATGTTAAAGGCACGAAACATGTGTGAAGTTGTAGCACATACACGTATGCACCCACACATACACACACATGCAAACTGACACATATGCACCCACATATATACACTCCCACAACACAGGTTGCTGCCTCTTGAGAAGACTTTGGGTCCCATGTTACACCACGCATGTGCATGTGTGGGCAGGAGGGGAGGGGGCTAGGCACGAGGACCTCAGTGGTTTTGGTTGAAGCTACTGAATATGATTTAAATAAGCAAATGAGTAGGAAGTGCCACGGCCACAGCCACCGCTTGGGTG